TTTTGCTGTTTTTTTGTCGTCAAGCTTGGTCCTCGATTGTCTCTATGCGTCCTTCAAACCGGTGTTCTGTCACGTGTTCCTGGAGTCTGCTCTTATCTTCCACTGAAGGAGACTCTCGGAAATGAGGAGTCTGAAAGCAGTTCATCATCTTAAATGGTGCCGAGGCTCTTGCTCGGCGCTGCTATCGGGTTATTGCATACAGGCCTGCCTCATATACCGAAGCAATGCTTTCAGAATACAACTGAAGATACAGTTTGAAGACTTGTAGCTGCCTGTCTTGAACAGGCAAACTACAGGTTGTTTGCATGGTACAGTGCTCAATCAAAATCTAGCTTCTCACTTGATGGTAACGGTACGCGCATAGTTTAATCACCGGCTGATTCAGCCTGCGAAGGAAATTCAAGGTGATTTTGTACGCATTTGGTATCCAAAAAAAAACCGACAAGAGTGAGACAGTTGGAGAGCATCCTAAACTTGTATGAAACGGGAGAGGGCGAGGGGTTTTAATTTTTCCCCCAAATTTCAGTGTATGTCCAATCCTCTTTCCGCATGTGAATGTGCAAATTTAAGGCGATGATCAGCTCTTGCGTCTGTTGGTTGAATCAAAACCGCAAGGTTGCCCATGAGTAATGTAGATACAGGACCCATTTTGACAGTGCGTGGCAACTAACTCGATGGGGAATGGCGCCACGCGCCACGCGACCGAACGCGTTCCATCCATCGCGAGAATCACGTAGAATTCACTCGGTAAGCATGGACGAGATCGAGTCGTCGTCACCGTCGCCGTCCAAGCGACGCATGATTGAAGACGACGATCCCAGGGCAAAACTTCTCAACCTCCGCGGAAATCAGTTCGTTGCGCCTCCACCGCAAACATTTCTACAGCCTCCGCCGCCAACAGACCTAGGAGGCACACAGGACAGCATGGCGGAAAACACCTTGGGCGGAGCAGCAATACCACCGCCCCCCAAGCGGCGGAAACTAACGACGGAGGAGCAAGCCGAACGGGCGCGCGCCAAGGAGGAAAAGGAGAAAGAGCGTGCCGACCGCAAGGCCGCCAAAGAGGCAGAGAAACGGACGCGTGACGAGGAACGCGAGGCAAAGAAGCGCGAAAAGGCTTTAGAAGAGCAGCGGAAGCAAGAGGCAAAGCTGAAAAAGGAACGCAGCCAACTGAAGCTCGGCGCCTTCTTTACCGCCGCGCCAGGCGATAAGAAGGAGACGGAGTCGCAGCCGGCCATTCCGCTGCCCGAACGCCCGAGATCCCCTACCGCTGGCTCGGGCCCTGGCACAGAGGAGACAGAGTATCACAAATTCTTTCTACCATTTGAAACGCCGCCGCACACGACGGTTCACGTGCCGGAATACATTATCCACGACCAAGACGAATACGAGAAGCAGCTCGTGCGTTTTGGAGAAATGCTAAAATCTGGTGGCAGCCCGCCGCTGTCAAGTGACCTCTTTCCCTTCCAAGAACGGGGTATTCCCCAGCCAAACATCCGGTCCGTGGTGGAAATTCTCCAGGGAACATCCTCTGCCCCCGTTGATCTGACGTCTAACGAATCCCCGTCAGAATTTGCTCTGGCCGCCCTCCGCATCGTTAGTACTCGCTATATCCACTTTACTGACCATGTGCGGCCGCCCTACTACGGTACATATACCAAAATCCCTACCTGTGCCTCCCTCGCCCGAAACCCCTTTAAACGCGACCGCCCTGATAAGGATTATGACTACGACTCCGAGGCAGAGTGGCAGGAAGGTGTCGATGATGGTTCAGAAGGAGGTGGCGAAGACCTTCTCTCAGAAGAAGAGGAAGAAGATCCGGAAGACGACGGCAACCTCGAGGGCTTCCTCGATGACTCCGAAGACCGACCTCGCGTTAAGACCGGCCCACCTCGCGCCAAGACCGACCTGGACATTTCGCTTGCCCCCATATCCACTGGTATTTGCTGGGAGACATCCACTACCGCAGTCGCAGATGAACTCAAAGGCATGGGATTGGCCTTTCTCGTGCCTGGCATCAGCAGCATTGACCCCTTTGACACGAAGTACTGGGCCAAAGGAATGGACCCTCCTCCGCCGGTCGTGCGAACGCCCTACATCGGCATCGCACCCGGGCTTGGTCCAAGTACCCCCATCGTTGGCCTGCCTATCCCCCAAGCTGTTGGCTTGCCACCATTAATCAAGCCGCTAGAGGGCAATGACCTGGATGAGTTCAAGTTAGCCGTCATCGGTAGTAAGCTGAAGCGAGCAGCCCTCGTTCGGGATGTCAAACAAAGGTATCTAATTGCTAATTTACGAGGGTGGTTTAACTGATTTTTATAGGTGTCCGCATTTCACGCTTGAAGTCATAAAACATATGCTCAGTACACGCTTTGCACATGTAAAAAATGACCAGGGCGAAAAGGTATGGAAATATGTTCCTAATTGATCTCTGTGGGCGTCCATCTCGCACGAGCGGTGTGCATACGCATGTTTCATATTATAGAGCGGATTGGTGATGCCGACATCATCGATTGGGTTGCGTCGCGGTTGCAATGACCCCTGGAACCTTGCCCTCGTGCACACCATGGCCGAGTACCTGGCGTCAGGTCATGACCAGCTTGCTGAAAACTTACAAAAAAGACAGAAGCCGACCATGAGCTGGAAGCCTACCGACCTATCACTGCACTTTAATCCAACTTTGTGATCAAGCTTCAGGCCGCCTGAGCCTGTTTGCTGTCATTCACACAGAAGGTCTGGTCCCTCTTCAGAAGAATGGCTTTGGCGAAGATAGCTATCAGGCAGGACTTTGATCGCATGCGGACAAATAGCGGATCGTCGGCACTTCGAATCCGGTCTGCAAGAACCTGTTGACACCTGCGTACAGCTATGTAGCGGTCAAAAGTTTGTGCCAGATGGGTTCGCGCTATCTCGGTCTGACAGCATAGTTGATCAGTGCCAAAAACAACAGGAACTCAACATGTAGTTTTGATCCTGTTGTCAAAGGGATGTATTTCCGCTGCATTGAATGTCTTGGTGAGGTCAGAACGGCCCGCAAATCTTGGTGTATAGCTAAGGTAGCGCACTGGAGGGTTTGCATTCGAGCAGCCACGCTGGCATTGGTTTTAGTAAGCGGGCTCCTGAGTCAGTAACATACAAGGGGCTCGGTTCAATGACCCAGCATTACAAGTTCTATACCTAGTACCACGCTCTTCCTTCTTTTGGGATATTCGCATCGCGTCTCTCCAACTTTAAATGATGACGTGCTCGCGGCGTGCTACATATACTTTTGGCAGTTTCGGTGACACGAGAGTTCGCTTGCCTATTTCATATTTTGTAAAACTAAACGATTTGGCCAGTCGTCTGTAATATCAGTTTCCAGAGAATGCTATATTTAACATGTCTGCTTGGCATGAGTAGCAATTGTTACAACGCCAAATCTATAACCAGATCCAACCCCAATGCACCTGTCTATTAATTGAGGTTCCATCTCGGGCCTTTCTAAACAATGTCAAACCCTAAGTTACTCAGCTATGGAGATCAGATGATAACACTTGGTCGCTTTTTCCTGCCGAACCATGCTCGGGGTTGACTCATCATTAACCATGTCATTGAATGCAGCTTCTACTTGAGACTGGCACTGTAAAGCAGACCTTTTAGCCATGAGCCATGAGAGCGAAGGGTCCAGCCACCTATCATTCTATAGTGCCCAGGAAGAAACAAAGGCGCCCGCCGAGGACGATCAATCTGGCCAATCGATAGCTACTACTATAACGGCATCACGAAATCCCGATCATGCGAGAAACCAATGCACTCGCCCCGAACCAGCACACACCCGCACATCAAGTCTCGAAGACGCGGTAGTGAGAGTTAGCAAGCTAGAATATAACCCAGCGACAGGACGCTGGCTATTGGAAATTCAGGCAGAGCTTCCTCCTATCGTTGACACACAAGGACACTGCGGGGATGAGAGCTGCTCTTCGGTGACAACCTTCTGCTCCGCAGCCTCCGGAGAAGGCTCTTTGGCCACAAGCGGGACCTCTTCGAACACAGGCCGGGACATCTCAAGCACAGATGATGGCTCCTCCACAACAAGTACTTGCTCTTCAAGCTCCAGTCGGAGCAGTGTGTCCATAACGGAGAGCTTCTGGAACCGTCTCAGATGGCTTCCGACCTTTAGATTTGCCATCGGTATTCCATTCATCGTTGGGGTCGCGGTGTTAGTGTGGGAGGGAAAAAAACATGGATGGTGGTAGAAAAAACTAATCAAAGAGCTTGGCGGGTAAGCTGGAGATTCAAAGAAGGGTATATGAAACCTCTGTAATTATCTCTTATTACTCCATCGACCTGTACGAGTTATCAGACTACGTGGAACAAGTGCATGGAGTCCTGCAAAAATGGGGTTTTCATAGTACATATACAGACCAGAAATTACCTGCCGAGGATACGAAAAGATGAAGACTACAGAGACGGGATTTCAAAGCTTCAATTCGTCTATAGGACTAGCGGGTAAGTTCCTTTTAATGGAAAGAAAGAGACATCTAACGCAGCAATGCATACCAGGGCCATGGAAAGCCAACGCTACCAATGAGCAATGGTCAGAAGTAAACGTAGGAGTAAGGACACAACAGAATCAAACTTAGAATGCGCACGAGCTGAAAAGAGCCGAACAGAAAACTGCCTATCTCGTCTTGGGAATCGGGACCAGGTACAAAGAACCGAAGCAAGCCACATCGTGCACTGTGACATCGCGATGCTCTGGGACAGAGATACGCCATTAGATCGTCCACATGCGTGAAGTGAGCGGCGCGTACATTCAGTGCACCGCCAAGAGTGTCAGTGGGTATCGGCAAAACTGTAAGTGCCTGAGGCTCCAACACACTTCTCATTGGCAGAACTTCGGGTAACATTTCATCATCAGGTCAGTTTCTACTCCCTTCCTGATCTTCCAGCGTTTATCTGTCAGAAGATGTCCACAGTAGTGTATATTACTGTCATGACCACATTAAGTTTAATGAAGTGGCTCTGTGGTCTAGTGGTAGGATTCCTGCTTTGGGAAATTGAGAATTTTCAATCTGCAGGAGGTCCTGAGTTCGAACCTCAGCTGAGCCCTCTTTTTGTACTTCTATTGTCTTTCTCTTTGGATTGGCAAATTTTCAGCTCAACTTTGACATGATTTTTTTGGCTGCAATCTGTGGCTATGTGTATATGGACAAATCCTGGCTTGCTGAGAGCGAGATGAAGGTAGTTACTACTCAATGGCTAGCGAATCAATATGTATTTCTGGAGAAAGTTCTATGTTGTGTGAGAGAAAGAGTTCATCCTACATTGCTTTATGATACCTGTTGAATGCGGCCATACTACTTTAAGGTTTGTCCTTGCCATGTAGAATTGTGTATCAATCGGAGACTGGGTTTGCCATTTAGATTCGCAAACCCATGATATAGATGGGTTCTAACCTATGATACTTTGTGAGGTTTACAGGTATGGGCCACACAAAAGCATGAGGTTAAATCTCCGAGAAACAAGAGACTGACCTGAGATATCGTACACACTACATACCGACAACTGGCACCCGAAGCTACTTGCATCGCTCCTTCTACATCAAAAATGGTAAATTGGACGGTCGGCCAAACGATACAGATGGTCATTCTGGAATATCTAAACCCGAGAAAACCTCAGAATAGCAACCATCGATACATCACGTCATTGCGGCTCCAGACCTCGCATGTTGTTATCCCCGGAAAGCCATGTAGGCTCTATCAAAAAAGCGATGTCGGCCATATGGCCACTGGAAGGTTTAAAAGAACAGCGCAGAGGTGCATGCAATGGAAAAGATTTCAGCGGCAGACGGTATTCAATTTTCTTCCGTTGCCCGAATGGAAGGAGAGATCACACTTGAAAAATTCGCTACGGAACTCAGTTTCAACGATTCCACGCGGTCCCAAATATTAGCTAGACATTTAGAAAACATGGTAAGGTACGCCAACACCAGCTTGTGCAGCGATCACCGCATCCTGATTCAGGCTAGGGTTATCCTCTGCGGGTACCACTCGAAGGGTGTTCGTATGTCCCATACCAATACGTCTTCCCTGGACGCAAATGACGAGATCGCCCTCTTACAAGCTTAATGGCGTTCATGATGCCCTATTGAGGGCCCTAAAGCACCCGCACTTACACTCTTTGATACTCGCACGACAAGCCAATTCCTCTTCCAAATCCTTTAATGCGGCCTCGAGCTCTCCATACCGCTGGACCGCGTTTTGTCGTGCCTCACCAATTATCAGCGTCTTCTTGCCAGCGTGTCTCTAAATCCAGCTGCTCTGGGTAGTAAAACTGGCAAACACGACTGTAGAGGTGTGAGTACCGCGACGCACGCGCAATGCATGCCATCATGGACTCATAGGACGGTGTTTGGTGATCAGTCGCGCAGCATCACCTCTGTCGCTGTTAACGACACGATGCTATGTTGGTGTTACTGAAGAGGGCGTCAAGCGCAAGATTATGCCGGCGTTCTGTCTGAAGGAAGGTCCCGTTGTCTGTAAAAAGATGTGCTAGTTCTTCAGGCTGACATTAATGTCCCTGGCCTGAGAAGTGACTGGCATCGCCTGACCGACCGCTGCCGGCGAGGTTTTCTCTATTGTTCCATTGCTCTGCGAAGCGTCCTGAGTTGTCCAGCAAGTCCTCCAGGGAGGCGTACAGAAAGCTACCCAGCGAATCGTTCTGTATGTCATCGCGAGTGCCCCCTTCGGCGGCGCACCGATTCTTGACTTCCAAAGCTGTGAAGCATCTTTCTCTTGTAGAAACGGCAAATCATCTTTCGTGCCGCTTCTCTGCGCTCTTGTGCTTTGCTCGTGATGCTTTCAGCAAAGACTTGTCCATGCGCCTGCTATGTTTCGCAGGGAGCTCTAGAGATACTCCTCGATCTTCTTCACGCACTCTGGAAGCTCCTTCCAGTCATACATTACGAACTTGACCTTGCACTCTTGCGGAGGAGGAGAAGTAGGTCTGCTCCGCAGTCTGGATTGGTCCATATATGTTGGGCTTCTTCTCAATCTGCACCCCGTGGTGCTGTGAAAACGATCATCATTCTTTGATAGTCCAGTCGTGCACTCCACATTGATCTCAAGTGCCGTAGCGTGATTGCCTTATCAAGTTGGGTTCTATAACGGGTTCGAGGGCTGAAAGTACAGGTTCCACGCACCTGCGCCTGTGGTGTGTAAGAAATGTCACTTAAAAATCTGTCGCCCAGCATAAGCGCCGTCATGAGCAAGAGTCGTTTGGGGCGGAAGACTACAGGCTGGCCGTGGTTGATCGTTTGGAGTTTGTGGACTCAGTACAGGCCTAAAGACATGACATTGAAGTCCAGGGATAAGTCGGAGAGTAGTCGTCTTCTGTATTACAGGAAGTCATCGGAGAGTGAAATTTGTGGCAAGGCCTTGGACAGTGCAATATCAGTGCACTCCAGAGTTGAGACGAAGTGAGAGATCTCAGTTTACAGTAGCGCCGTAAAACAGACGGCGAGATCTGCAGCCATGGTCCGAGAGTTCCCGATGCAGCAAGTGTCCTGGCACTGTACAAGTCCTGTAAAAACGGCCACGGTTAGAACTTTGAGCAATCAGTTTGCACTCGTACCAAGTGCTGTAACGTGATTGGCTTGATCTTTAACCCAAGTTAGGCTCGCTGGAAGGGCTTGAGAGCTGGGAGCACCTGGTTGCCAGATTGATCGCCTACAGCAGTCTCGAATCCGGCGGCCACGACAACGAGGTTTGAATCAATTTCCTCGGCAATTGGCATAATGACTTCGTTAAACGCGTACAGATAGTCGGCATCACCCACACCGGCTCTGCTCCAGGGAATGTTGATGCTTTTGCCTTCTTAGGGCGCGGTGCCGCAATGCAGATAATCGTCGACTGTCCAATAAAATTGTCAGGGTAGAAGCTGCCATCGAGGAAGAGATGCAGGGATATATATAAGACTTGAGGATCCTCGCAGAAATCGTGGTGAGGTGTTGTTTGACAGTGTGCACTTTCATCACTGCTGCGTCATTGAAATATTTTTCGACTTAGCGAAAGCCTTGTATCCCATTGTAAGTCCGTGAGGCGTTTATCAGTTTCCGTTTTGCTAGTGGAAGCGAGTCTTTAGTGTGTGTGCGTGCCTTTTCATCGAGGATGGAATCTGCAAAGAACCATTCTGTTCCCTTGCGTCTTCATACTTTGCACACGTAAAGTGTCACCTCACTGCTGCAGGAGAATTTGCTGTAGCATAGGCAGTTGATATCAGTGTACACATCGGAACAACTAGACTTGTGCCGTGAGCAGTGGAGGACTTTTCACGTTTTAAGGGGCGTGAGCGTAAAGATTGTCCCGTCCCAAGGATAAGAGAGATGAAAGATGATTGTCGCAATGCTTGGGGCCTATACTGTCGTCCTCACGCGGCCGCGGCAGTTTCGACTGCCTTCCAGGATGGGGCCGTCTGATTCAGGAAATCAAGGCGTTGGTCCTGTTTTCAGTACATCAGGAACGTGTCGATGAACGTGCAAGCTGTACTGCTTACCAATGTACAGAGCTCTCAGACCAACTCTGAGCCCTCACGATACCGAGCACCGCCCTCAGAAAATGTGGGTGGAAGGTTTATATCATCTTTCACTAGCAAACAACCTTCAAGGAAGCAAACTCACTTTGACCTGAAGGTTTTTTGCTCTGATATGGTTGGACAGATTGAAGACAAAGTTTGGGTTGAACTGAAGTGTGGCGTGGAGGTCAAAGGAGAGGAATACCGGGCAGTTATGAGCATAGATGTCAACGACATCATAGGGCTGGGCGTGACGGTTGCCCTCGATGACGCATGTCGACATGATATGTCTCGGTGGCCCTGAGCAATAGGTCAATTGAAATATGCCTCAGGATCTTCAGTAAATTGACAAGATGTGCGGTTCGTCCATCCGCACAACAGGCTTGCCATTAAGTCAGCAGCCCCGCATGCGCCATGCCTCGTCTTAGCCGTCCATTTTGTTATTTGCTGCTTGCCTTTCCTTGGAACAAATTGTTTGCGGCACAATGCATCCAGAACTATGTGTTCGCCAAGATTTAATATTGCATCCCGGGCCTGACTCAGGGAAGCCTTGCGCTTCGTCAAAGGAAAACGCGTTGAAGCATGCGGAAAGGTCTGTAAAGGCGATGGGAGTGATGGTATGATCCGCTTACGTGTCGGAGGCGAGCATAATGTTACGTGTAGACAGATTCGTTCCGCGGTCTTTAGCATGACGTTGCGATTTATTGGAGAGCTCGGCGGCGCGTCTCCTAACTGAGCGCCGATCCTTTTGTGAGCTATTCGTGGACTAATGCCCGCGGCTCTATGGCAAGTGACCCTTGGGGGACATGATACCAGTCGAGCTCCATGGTGTAGGCGAAATGATATCAATAACGTCGTCAAAGTAAGGCTGCCACCAAGACAAGGCTCTCTATAAAGTATCTGGCACGTCGGAAAAGTCATAAATATAACTCTCACGGATGGATGTTGCTGTCGGCTCAGGGATTTTGCTGACGACACTGTTGTCCAGAAGGAGGGGGTCCGCAGCAGCCATTGATAGACTGCCAACGTATGAGTACCGAAAGGTTGAGCCGCATCGCTCTGCCATAGTCTTCGTATCATTTCCTTCTTTCTTCATCTGCGGCAAGCTTGTCAGCGGCGCACTGGAGTTTCCTGTGGGCATACAGCGGCGGGGCCGGCGAATATGTGCTGCCCACTCCAACCCTCATATTTTTGGACGGCCACCGCATTCCCTTCAGAACTGGGGCATTTTGAGGAAGGAGATGAAGAGAAATATGGCAGTGAAGGTGAGCCCTGTAGTAACAAGGTAGGCGTCTGGTCGTGATCAACGATGAACATCAAAGTATTGACCCCCGGGCTAACGGACACCACAAAACCAATCGCTTCATCCTGAATGAGGCCAATGAAACACAAGGAAGGAGAGACGGTTAAAGTCGACGCGATCGGATTGCCGCGAAATTTGATGCTATTTAGCTCCGATAATCATGCCCCGGGTCCTTGATCATCTTTAACGCTCCCCCGATACTCGGCCTTCACCGTTTGGCATTGTACTTGGCATC